GGAGTCTGTGATGGGTAACTATCTGTGTCTGGGGTTGGCGTTTGAGGAAGGTTAACATTACGAGAAGCCGAAGGTGGAAGTAAGATCGGCCGTAAAAAAGGAATTTTCTTAGTTCCTTGGTCTTCTTTTCCGCTCCCGGGTATCTGATGACTAGCATCACAAACGAGGCATAGCTGATATATTCCCTAATCCGCTTGTTCTTGTTGAATACAAAAATATCATAGATTTATAAGATTATGGAAAACAATGAGGAAACTTATTTTTACATTACACAGGACTGAAAATTATGGAGATATACTTACTGGTCAAAATTAGTGGCCAAATAAATTTCAGCTTCATAATTCTTAAACAAATACATGTATGTATGCCGGAGGTTATAGCTAAAATTTGGAAATAAAAAATAAAACTTTAAAAACTGTTCAGCCCAACACTGTTTCAAAAATATCATTTTCCATATTTATAACTCAGTTTATTTAATGCATATTTACTTACCATTTTCAACAAAGAACTTAAATTTAAATAAATTTAAAGCCATGATTCTTGACCTGATTTTCAAGCCCCAGGTAGTTGATAACAGCTTGAATGTTGAATAAGATATTGTCACCAAGTTTGTAAACTTTTAAGGAGACTGGCCAGCCAAAGCCATTGCTGGTATCATATTGTTCCTCCTCCATTCTTCTAGATAAAAAGATAAAGGTCCATTAAGTACACCAAATTGTAAACCATCAGTGTCTGGGATAAAAGTAACTTGGCATGCTAGAATTTTCTTTTAACTCAACATGTATGCACTGATTATCAAAAAGCAATCAATTTAATCAATTAAATTGTTATCAATAAAAATCAGTGGTCACAAATCTTTCAATTTTTAACTTTCATCGCAGATTGTGAAACATGTCCGTACCCAGGATTATTTTCGCCACAAGCACAGAAATTATAAGCTTAGATTAGAATACAGAACAGTATGAATAGTTTCAAAAAGTGTCCTATAACTTCCTTTTCCAAACTGGTGTAAAAGAAAAAGATCCTGTTGACAGCGTGTTTTTCCGTGTTTCGTTTTTCGTGTTATTACAGCCCGAGGGTAAGCCCCTCTCAGGGGTTTTAGGGAACAAGGGAACATGGCCATTTAACTTTTTGGTAACATAGGAACAAAGGGAAAATAAAACTGGAACACGGGAACAAAAGCGTTATTTGGGGAACAGGGAAAACCAAAATCAACGAAATACTTTCAGGGAACACTGCATGGAACACAAGCGAAATTTTGTTGGGAACAAGGAAACATGGAACCCCATGATTCTATAACAGTTCGTAATTGATTTGACTCAGCCTCTCAGTGCGTATCTTGGTTGTAAACATCACTTGTTCATATAATTTTTGAAGGTTTTATGGTTGAGCAGTAAATCTTCGGGGTGGGGAGAATAGTATAGTGGATCTTGATTTGCATATTTCGTTCACATCACGCTTTGCACCGCACAAAAGAAGCAAAAAAGTCTGATCTTACAAACTGCTTTTCTTGATTGCTTTTCTTGCTTTTCTTTCCATTCGTTTTCTCCGTTGAGGTCGCGAGGGATGACTTTTCCCACGAATTTCAATAGCTTTTTTCTCAAGGCACTCGACAAGGGAGTTCAATGTTGCCTTTCCTTAGTTGGCGTCATGACCGCTTCGACACGCGCTTAACTGAGGTGTGAAAACTGGGAATTTCTTTGGAGGCCGAAAACTTGCTCTTACGCGAGTTACCTATACCTAAACGAATTAATAGGGTATGTATTTTTGTCGAATTTTGATGAAACTTAGCCAGGATATTTGCCAGATATTAATGCACAAAAATATGTGAGGCCGTAACGAATCAATATATTTTTTCCTGTGAATTCCCGGCGCGGGACTACACAATTTTATATTGTTCAACTTTAAAATATATTTTCTCGGGAACCAATAGGAATATCGAAAAAGCCTCACACCGTTTTTAGCCTATTATCTGCTGTGTGATACAATCCAGTTTGTTGGGATGTTCGTGGTAAGGCAAAGGCTTTTTCCGGAGGGCACCATTTTCTGTTGACGGTGACTTAATCTTTATTCAGATTTCCAACGAGTTGTGCTAATTGTTATGCTGCTACTTGATTTCATATGAGAACATCAGTCACAATCGTATCTAATGATTTTTTTTTTCTGATGATGATTTTTTCAAAGGCATCATGGAGAAACTGAGTTGCGGTTCAGTTTTTTTGGATCAAAACGCATACAGGAAATAAATGAATAAAAACAAAACTCAGTAACTTAGAGTTAATCACTATATTGACTTCACAATAATTGAATATTACTTAGAAACCTAGAATTGTTTTTCTTTTTCGAACATCTTCCTATTAAAAAACAGTACTTAGGTACGAGACGAGCTTACAGTCGCAATTTTGTTTTCAAACACATCGTACTTTTCCAGCCCTTTCCGCTCTCCATTTTGTTTTGTGCGTCATTCTCCACGGAAAAAGGGAAAGAAGGATGACTTTCGATGTCAGGTCTGAAAAAAAAAATTGTTCGCAATTTCAGTATCGGTTACATCATGATATCGAGTGCAATTTTTTTTAATAATTTGCATGAAAAAAGCATCTTAGAAAGTCAAGCAGAGGAAATTTTGACAGCGCACGCTATTTGTAATTTTCACCCGTGTTACAAATTTGCACTCGTGTGAAATGAAAAATGCACTCATTTTCAGCCAATCAAAAGCGCACAATGTTTACATATACATCGCTTTTACTGTTGTCGACGTTTTCGACTTTCTCAGTTTTTGATCATATGTATCGTTTCTTTCATGAGAGATTATTTTACAATTTGATTTTAAAGATTTATTACACCCATTTTGAAATCACTGGTGGTCCCTGTAACCTGATTGGCTCTAATTGGTGCGATTTATTCACGAATTGCACCAATTTTTGCTTTAAATCGCATCTTTTTTCCAGTTGAAGAGGAGGCTACACTAAAAACAAAACAACCAATCAGACTTCAAGGCTTGTTTAAAGTAACCGATCAAATTGCAGGAAGATGAAAGACATGATTGCAAATTTTGCAACTTTTGTTTCCAAAACTCTTATTTTTTCCTCCCAAAAAATGGATGACTTTAATTCCAAACTGGCTCAGTATTGTAGTAATAAAATATTTGAACTGACCAAGTCCTGTATTTGGGCGATTTCAAAATGGATGTAATAAAGTGGTAATTGAACCTCATGTTGTGCAATTTTGGTCTGAAATTATACTTGTGATTTCAAATTGAACTCGCGCTGCGCTCGTTCAATTTTGAAATCACGCGTATGATTTAAGCCCAAATTGCACTCCACTCAGTTCAATTACCACTATAAATAGCGAACGTATATACTCCTAACTTTTTAAATAATCAGCACAGAAAATTTTAGGATATTATTCAAGTCGTTAAGGAGAAGTAGAACAGGTGGCAAGAAAAGGAGAAATTGGTGAGAAACAGCCGACTTTCACACGCAGTGAGTCACCTTCATAAACCACTACTCCAGGAGTACATAAAAGCAAGTATCCGGCTGACTTGGAGAATGGTTACCCAGACACCACCACTGAAGTTACAGTATTAATCCTTGTACCTACAACAATGCCATAAGAAGATAAATGATACGAGTCCTGAGGTACGTACGTTGGTGAAAGGAACCCCTGACCAACATCAGGAAGAGGAGACTGCATGTTATCTTTGGCCGGGACTGTTTGATGGGGATGGAAGATGTATTCACAAAGGAGAAGTCTTGTGTAAGATAATAGGGAATACTGAGTAAACTTCTCTTGAATTTTTACGTTCCTCGACTTTGGAAACTGCTTTAATTTTCAAAATCCTGTTAAATATTTTTTAGTTTTACCACGCTCTAAATGTAAATGTGGAGCATGAATCAGGTCGATTTATAATCGATATGATTGGCTTTTCTGACATAAAACGACCTTTTCTATTTATTGTTACCTGTGACGTTATTAGAGAAAGAAGGAACTCTGAAAAATAATGATAACAGATGGAAGTAGTATTGATTTGAAACCTGATGGCAGTACTAGGGATAAATTTGCTACTATTAATACAAGTTTAATTAATCAGCAATTCGCTTTAAGATAGAATGCAGGCGATTAACAATGGGCGTTCTATTTGTTTATGTATTTGCACGCACTATTTTATTTCGTCTACAAGTCAAAACATTGAAATGTCTTTACGTGGACGTTTTTCCCTGTTGATGTTAAATGAGAGCATTTGCTCAGAAACTGAATAACTTATATCTTAAGTAATCGAAGCTTGTTTTAGAGTTTGGATGGTCAAACTAAAGAAATAGTAAAGATTGTCTTTGCTTAACCATCCTTAATTCAACATCAATCTGAAAGGCAAAAGCTTTCCTTGCAGTTGTTCTTGAGTAAGTGATTGAATATTGAGTTATTGAGTTCAAATTTAAACTACGGTATATCTTCTACTTTTGTAAGTAATTTTAATTCTGGTATCGTTAGTAACGCTAAGTTTTGCTGACTGTAAGTAATTTTTTATAACAAAAAAAATTTCCTTCAAAATTTTAATGAAAAAATAACACTTTCACAATCAAAAATATTGGTCTAGTAGCTTCAGATTACCGTGTAACTGGTTTGGTTGGCAAATCATGCACGCTTAGCAAGTAATCAATTAAAATATGTGTAAAAAACTTTTTTAAAACGTTGCACCTATGCTGACTGGGCACTTGCCTTCTTTACCTCTTGATTCTTCCCGCTTTTTTCATCAAAAGTTTTTAAATGTTGTTTAATTCTGTCCGCAACAGCGTTAAACAATTTCTTTCTCATTCCTGAACTTAGGCAAAAATACTCTATATTTTTCAGTTTCACGTCCTAGTTCCATAGCTTTCCATCACCGAATTTTGAGTTTCATTTAACATGGATACAAAGCTCCTTGGTAAGCGGATGTTTGTCATCAAACTGTCGTCTAAAATGCGCTTCCCACGTTTTTCCCTTCAAACTCGTTCATTTACGAGTCAATCAGATGGATGTTGCTTTTTGAACTTTTGAATTCTTTGTATACCAAACAACTCTTCCAAAAGAGTTTCAAACTGCTGGTTGACATACATTCCACCATAAGGTCCCCCTGTGACCCTGTGGATCTCTTTAATGTTACCATCATCTCGTATTTCGTGCACTGTCACATCTAGCAGTCAGTTGATATAGCTGTCAGTTGATCTTTTTCAATTTAGACTAATTAATCTACATCGCAAATGTATAATTGACTTCACGAGACAGCTAATAACTTTCTTGGTGATTCTTAGTAAGTTTACTGTAAGGATGTATACCCTTAAAACGAGAGTTGTATTAAAAGAGGAGGTTAGTTCCAACCACGATGGTGATGATGATGATAATAATAATTATAATGACAGTGATGATTATAGCAATAACGATACCAAAAATATAGTGATAATGACACTGTAATAAAATATGTGCCTATTGTTCATCGTGGTGTAAGATAGGAGATGAACTTTGTTCGTTTGTCTCACGATATTCTCTTATGATGTAGATCGCGACGTTTCGACCGCAATACTGTTAGTCTTCATCAGGCGATGAGGTTTGTTTACGTGTCGCTATTTGTAGCACATTGTTACGCTGGTATTGGTGCATTTCGATCCTCATTATTATTCCGGTCGTTAAATGGTATTCCCTCTTAAGTCCTCATAAATCGGCTGTTGTGTTGTTTGGGGAGTTTGTTCCAAGTTAGTAAACCAGCTTTCTAGGGTCAGCCGTTGAAAGTAGTTGGTGCTGTAACTGAAGATGGTATAGTTACTGTGGTCGTAGGAGTTCCGTTGTCGTTAACTTCGGTAGTAGTAGTGGGTCGGTGAGTGTTACGTTGGATGAAGTCTTCGTTGCAGTTGTTCTTTGAAAGCCTTATAGCCTCATAGCTGTACCGTGTAACTGTTTGTCGTGTTTACCGTTGTACTGAAAGTAAGCTGATGCCAAGCAAAGTTTTAGTAAGTCCATAACGTCCTCTGTCGGTAGATTATTGGATAGCAGTCTCGGTACATTGTAGTGCCAGTTGAAGTGGAATACTTGTAAAAAGCGATTTCACATCAAATGACACTAGTTTGTAGTCGTCAGGTATCTGTACAGTCTTAGTGGCTTTAATGAAGTCCTTGGTGGATTGTGGTTTTCGTCTGGATTTGTCGGTGAGCGGTTGTAGTATTGTCGTCAGGTACTTAGACAGTTGGTATGTCGGAGGACCACGGTATTGCAGTCGAAACGTCGCGATCTACATCATAAGTGACTCTGTTGTGAGACAAACGAACAAAGTTCATCTCCTATAATGACACTAATGCGATCGCTAACAACAATAATGATAATGGTTAACATAGCTAAAATCAATGATTAAAAAAAAATAACCTAAAAGAACAAAGCCCAAAAAAACATAGTATAATTACTTCGGTGATTAAAGAGATGCGCGCGCTCTGATTGGTCGAGTATTGCGTCATATCTCGCAAGAATCACTCGCGCGAGGTTAATATAGTAGAGGTACAAAAAAATTTAAACGGCTGCCTCGCGTTTTACAGTGTTACGCAGAAAATGATAAACGCGGTGAAAGAAAATACAATTCTGAAGAGCACAAAAGATGCTAATAAGTTTGGCTTAACACTTTTCAAAACAAATGTAGGAAATTTTTGCTGATTGAATCAAATAAGCCTGTTAAATTCTAGCGGAAACTAGCTTCTTATCTTGATACGAGTAACCAAAACAATTGTAACAGAATGATTTTAGCATCAAAACGAATTTACCATAAAATTCGAAAACACCTGAGCAATTATAATAAAGCCATTAAGTTCAGTGAATATTGTAGAATATTCCTCTCGGAGTCGTTTGGGGGATTATTTAACATAATATTCACACAAGCCTTTGAAAAAGAAAGACTTTTTAATCTAGTTAGCATACCTAAAAAAACAAACCTGAAAGATGTTGTAAAATCGATAACAATAGGCATGCACTATTAAATGTTTTGATCACGTTTTCCATAAGATTGGCACACCTAAACAGACTTCATGTTATGCTGTGGGCTATAAATAATATAAAACGGAGGAATTATTTCTCGATGAGAAGAACTTGTGACTGAAAACAGGAAAATTATGTAGCACGCCCAGATTTCAAGAGTTTAAGGCTTTAATTTCGAACTGGATAAGATATGGTCTTCTAACATTACCTGATAAGCTGCTTCTCTCATAAACTGCTTTGCGATTGGAGTCCATATTGCCGGAACAATTAGAACCCACGGGAAATCGTCTGGACTGAAATGATCTCCTCTTCGCTGACAAATTACTTTGATCGTTTTGTCTTTAAGAAACGTAATGCACCTTGCAACCAGTGTCTTGGCCTTAACAGGTTGTCCGTTCGCTGCTTTTATTAGAGTCGTACTGTCAAGACTCTAGGAGAGAATGAACCCAGCGTTCTCAGGAAAATATGTCGTCATACCTTTTGCAATCACCTTAACAAAGAAGAGATTCTAAGGAACTTTAGATAAACCAAAATATTTAAGGATGACGAAGATTAACGCATATGATACGGTTAAAGATGACGGATGCTTCTTACGCTGGCATTCAATAAGCATTTTAAAAGTCTTTATGGGAATCAATGAGGTAGCACGATATGTTCGATATTTAATTTAAAAAACATGAAAAGATTTACAATACTCTTTCAGGCAACAACTTTCGGGCCGGACGGCTGGGGTAATTCTGGATCGATGTTAATTAAGACAAAGCTCTTTCTGTGTGCTCACTTTCTGTTCTTGAAGGTGAAAAGTATCACTCAGATACTACAGGCGCCCTGGTTTGTGAAAAACCGTTTATTGCAACGGCAAACCCATAGAAAGTTGAAGTCTATCATTTTCATAAAAGCAATAGAAATATACTGGCATCCGACTCGTGATTTGCAAACTTTTCTTTTCGTGCGTGGATAATTACGCCCAAAACCATTATAAAGTGTCGCCTATTTCTTTAATAATTTATCTTTGAAACTGATCAGTGAGGCGCATTCTTACTTACTTAAAGAAGAGAAAATCTTTCTCTTCTTTTTCACCTTGAATATTGCCGTAATTTTCCATCGCTTCATAACCAAATGAGTAAAATGAAAGATCTGTTTTGAGTAGCAGGCATGTTGGGGTTTTGCTCGTTTGAGCACCTTGTTCATTTGCCCAGTCTCTGTTCATGAAGATGGCGTCCTTTCCTTCGCTTTAATGAATAAAAAAGCAAATCCACTGTAGGTTATCCCGAAATCAGTGACACCAACTGCCAGATATGAACGCCTGGAAGTATAAAGGAATTAGCTTCTTTACCTCTTACTAACCGAGTTCGAGGGCCGTACTGGAAGTTACGGACCGAGTTTTTTCAAAACGAGGTTCAGTAACTTACAGTACGAATCAGGAAAAACGAGGTTATTAATATATTTATTATGTCTCTCGGTTCAAATAGAAGAGGAATACTACGCAAGAGAACATTTTATTGGCTTCCAATAAAAAACTGAATGAAAATAAAATATTCGTTTAACACTCATAATTCAAAATAATGCAAAATTACATAAAAAGAACAGGTCGAGTATACATATGTTTTCTACAAGGAACTGTGATATAACGTTCTGTAAGTAACTCTTTTGTCGAGAGTTTTTTTGCCCAAATGCCCGAAATTTGCAGAGCACAACGCGTTTCTTCGTAAAAAGTGCTTAAAAAGTGCAAACTAACGGCTACCCTTGTTCAATATCAACGTCAAATGGATAAATGAATTTAATCAATGCGATAGAAAACAGTACAGGGATCTTTTAAGCGACTAGTATCCAATTTTTGGTGTTTTCCGGCGTTTTGATGGCAGCTGCCGGGTGCACTCGATGCAGACTGAACAGGATTAAAGAGAGATTGAAACCGAGCGAATTTTTTTCGACGAAGAAAGAAGGATGTGGCATTGCTCGGGAGCTGAACTCTACTTTGTAGAGTTTTTGGAGGAAGACAAACGACAAATAGAGGGATTCGAGCAAGACGAAGATAACTCGGGTATGCTTTTTGAAAGCTTGAAATACTTTGTGGTTCATACTCGCCACCATTTTGCTTGCCGACTTCTTTTAAGAAATTGCCAAGGAGCTTGTCGAGAGCAGCAGGAGGTATCTTTATTGCGCTAAAATTTCCATCAGTTTGCTGTTCGAAAAACCCTTCAAAAATTTTTCCACTCGTACTTCACGACCTTTCGGCGGCGATGGAATCATCTGGTTTCGACTCGAGTTTTCTTCTCTATTTTCCGCTTGTCTTCCTTCTAGAATTCTTAGTATCGAACTCGAAAGTTTGGGATATCTGCTTCTGGGTTTTGCTCTTTTCCCTCGTTTGCGTACTTTTCCTTAAATCTGTTCTAAATTTTTCTTAAAGAGACAATTTGGCGATCAAATAAAATTTTTGAATTCATCGGGCCATACAATAAAATACGGCCTGCTGAATGGGCCGATCGTAGCGCACGCACGTTAGCTTCCGCGAATTCTTGGAATAACATCGAGCTAAGAGAAAATCACTGATATATTCTATTCTCCCGACTCAATATAATCTTTTGTGATGAGTATTATAGGATCATGAATATTATTTAATTCACATCAGCCACAACAACCTGCATGAAAGTGTTGATAAGAAGGGAATTTCATCGATAGTGATAAGTCAATGACTTTTTTCTTCCCGGTTTTGTTTAAGTTCAGTTTTACTCCTGGAAAACAGAAAGTTTTTACTTCACAACTTACTCCTCCTCTTAACCTTTATTGCTATTCTTCTCAAGAATACTTTTCCATCAATATGTCCTGTGGAATTTCATGAAACATACTTGAATATCTGGTAATTTAGTGTTAACAACTGAGTTGAAAACGTAAATTAGCCACCCTAAAGGGTAAAAAAGCTGACATTTCGAACGTTAGCACTTCGTCAGAGCGATTGGATTGACGAATAATCGCTCTGACGAAGGGCTAACGCTCGAAACGTCAGCTTTTTTACCCTTTAGGGTGGCTAATTTACGTTTTCAACTCAGTTGTTAACACTAAATTACCTACTATACTCTCCCACCGACGCAGCACCACAGTTTCTTTAGAAACTTACCCTTTTATACTTGAATATCTGACCAGCAAGATCAGTTATCTGCGATAGTCGGATATCATTTAAATAATCTGCACAGCCCGCCCAGCTAGTACATTGCGTTACTTGTGATCGATGCTAATACTGTAACTGTTCGTGTTTCGATTATGAGCGGTGCACTGGCATAAAATCTGGCAGACTGGAAACTTTGGGCTAGCGGTTCGAAATCATCATGGTGAGGGAATGATGTAAGTGCTCCAACGGCAAAGGTTAGCTGCAAAATGAACACGAAATACAAGTACACGTACAGAAGCAACTGAAATTCTCGAGTAAAGAAGGAAGAAGGCGAGCCGGTAATTGAAATCAATGTAAACTAATTTTTAGTTCATGCGACATTCTCTATTCCAAAACCATAATCACTTTAGTGTCACAAGGATATTAAACTAAAAGTATTTTTACCATGGGTGATAAGCGAAGTACAAAATGAATATAATAGATAATGAGCGTTTCTACAGAATGAAGAAACTAGTAGAATAGGTCTTATTGTTAGAGGCTTTATTAAATGTCGACTTAAAGTTTGTTATGTGGAAAGCTTCAGCACCTTGAACAACTGCAAGGGATGTTAGACAACATTGACGAATGAATCGAACATTAGAATATACCGTGCAGATATCTTGCCTTAAATTTTCACATATCTCCAAGTTTAATATCACATATTTAAATCTAATACATAGCTAAGTGTCTGGTGTTAACGAGACAACTTCATCAGCAGATTTTTTCTCGTTAAGCAGAAGAGATGAGTCAGACGGATTAGCACGATCAGACACGAAAAAGCAACTGGAATGTTTTCAAGCAGAAATAAACGCGAATACTCAAAGGTAAGTCGGGCTTTTCACTTGTACACTGTTATGTGCGAGCTTCCATATGACGGGGGTAGGGTCAGTCATAAGTGTTTAGGGAGAAACTAAAGATACTCAAGAGCCACTGACCATGAGCAAATATCTAGAATTTTCCTAAAGGACCCTTTTAATGAACCTTTTTCAAAATTATATCGAAAGTTCAATTGAGCTTTGCATGCTGAAAAATTGAAAAGAATATACACCACAACGCAATACATTCCCTAAAGATCATTTCAATAATTTACTAGATCTGACGTACCAACATAACGTAATCCGGGCAAGAGTCGTTTGCGGTTAATTAAGTGATAATTCAATGGATCACACAAAACTTGACGCGCATTCGTATTCATAGCAAACCTCACATGTACCTGTCGGTGGAATCTTGATATTTATAGTCAGTGCTTTGTCAGTGCTCTTCAAACGTGATTCAACGATTTAATCGATCTGCTGTCTCCGGAAAAAAAAATACATTTTGGGGTTAACCATCTGTTAAGGACGATTTCACGGGCGAATTCGATACGATAAACGGTAGGCAAACGTTAACCTTTTATCTGATGTATTTGCGACATTGTAACGATAATTCGAGATTAGAGATTCAGCCGTGTTGGTAATTAATTCAAAAAGGTCGATCGCGATCCTGTAACGCAACAATAACTTCACGAAAATATCATGCGTCATTGTCACGATAAAGTTCCGAGCTGAACATTATTATGGACATTAGTAGGGTTTGTAATTGGCTAATTCGATTAACGCTCCTCCCCAATTCTTGGGAGAGTGTGGTTTTAGTCCCGAGGATCCTTTCAAATTGGAATTCACAAAGGGAAGCCGCGATGGACCTAGCAGAAACAATTAAGACCTAGAAAAGACAAAGTTTTGAAACTAGTAGTTACTTGGTTTTTTCCGTCCACATTTTTTCCTCAATAAGATAAGCTAACTGTTTTTTCACAGGTTGTGAACCGAGATCACGTTACAATAAATGAATGGCATTATGAACATCATCCCTGACGTAATAAAAACCAAAATTACGTTATGTCGCGATCGTTTACTTGTAGTAAGTATTCTTCGGTCACCCTGCGATGAACTAAGGAGTAGCTACTGATAGATTCAGTCGACGGAAAAAGCGATAAGTTCCGGTAGTGTGGGCCTCTTGGCTCGAGTTTTAACCTTACATATTGCCATTGATGTAGATGAAAGTAATAATAATGGGCGAATACTATATTATTATCATCATCATTA